TTGTAATTAAAATTCAGCAAGTTATTCAGTTAACACATAAAAATCTATATTTAATTACAGACCCGAAGGCCTTGCCAAATAAATGATCTAGTTCATTAATTGAGAAAATTCTCTCCCCTCTAACTATATCCTCCTTTATCGTGACCAAATTCTCCAGAATATCTGGAAGTAACATCAAATAGTTGAAATATAAGGGCCTAGACCAAATCTATTTCTTTTTTGTACATCTTGTGTTTAAGTACATTGCTTCGAATTGAGGGGTCTGGTTTATTAAAGACAAGCCTCTTATACTGAAACCTTGTTTCCATAGTATAGTTATGAATCAGGAGGATTTATATATTGGTTTATTATGGTGTAAAGTTAAGGACCTACTTATCGACATGATGAACACTCATAATGCTGCTCAAATTAGTAATCTCTTGCCAAGGTATAAGATATAGAGCTCACAAGCGAATCTGGCCACTAGTTCGATTACTTAAGCATCAAAATTGATTTCAACTTTAACTTTCTTCTACATCAATGCCATCCTCCTCATTGTTTATCTCGCCATCATCTCTTCTTATTCCAACTCATCAACCATAGCCCGTTGATGCGTAGCTCACCACAACTATATTTAGCCTTGTTGTAGCTCTTATTACTAAGACCTTATCTACTAAGGGTTCCCCACTAATTATACCCATCTCACCATATACTTTTCCCACCACTCAATGACCCTCAAACATAACGACCCTAGTCTTATTATCTCCCAAAATCCTTTAGGCTTATTACATCACCATCTCGATCCTCAACCAGAAGCCTAAAAAGAGCAAGGCCACAGACTACTACTAGTCCTTCACTAAAAAAGACTCAACTCAATACATACTAACGTATTCCTTTCCCCTTCTAGCCCTTTTACGATTTTCAACCAACCATCCTTGCTACTCAATTAGCCATGTGCCTCGGCGACTTAAAAGACAAAACCTATTTCAAGGACAACATCCTCAACTGCTAAGACTGTACTTTGACAACCCACAATTACCCTACAGTCCCCTACTTAAATTACTAAATGTATTGCTCCAATGGTAAGCCAATAACCTTTTTCTTCTTCATGAAGCTTTCAAAAGCCAACAGTCGTGGCCTTAGCCAAGCCTTGACAGTAAGGCTTTTAAAGCCCTAATACATAAAGTCCATCCTTATCTTTTCTTTATCTCAAACACAATCAGATTAATCGAACTACATGATTATGCCAAAATTTTAATTCTTTAATTTTATATGTCCACCACCTTATGGAACTCGAGGAAGGCTTTACTTACATTGGAATATGTCATTAAATTTTTAGATAATACATATCTCTTTTTGTCTAATTTATGTTTTTATTTAGCATCTCACTATATCCAAAGATTGGCTATGTACCAGAGTTTATGGTTCCCCCTATCCAAGCCAAAAACATATCTTAAGGACTCCCTTAATAGTATTGCCTAAGCTCACAATCTTCTTTGGCTAATTTTCAGGGATTTGAATGATATTCTTGATTCAAATTAAAAAATTAACTCTAAAAGCATATCAAGCTTATCTAAATTGCACTTCGAAGAACTATTAACCAATCTTGCCCTTATTCATCAAGGGTTTAAGGGTAACCCTTATACAGATTTTAATAAAAATGTGGAAGTTATCAATATTGGGGCCAAATTGGGCTGGGTTCTCAGTAATTAATCATAGTAACTATTATTCCCTATAACTTTAGTTTATAATTGCGCTGCTACATTCTCAGACAATACTCCCTTATTAGTTTACTTAAATGGGGATTACCCCACTATCTAAACTAGAATAAAATTTAAGTTTGGAAATACATGGCTAAAGGACGCTGCATGTGTACTTCTGATTTACAGAGTGGATATACTCGAATACTTGGTCCCAAAAACCATTAGTTATGCTAAAAACTCAAAATGGTACATCCCTTGCTCAAATAATGGTCTTTCAAATACTATCGTAAGCTCCAAAATTTTATAACTCAAACTCAATAATATTTTGAACATGTTTTACAATTAGCACCAATTGCCTTTAATAAAGATAAGGAGATTTATTTGCAAATTCATTTGCATAAACTATACACCTCACAAAAAGCCTATTTGAAGTAATAGTCTAAAGATAAATGGATGCGAAAAAGGGATAGAAACACAACTTATTTTCATTTAAATGCAACCATTACAAAAAGGAAAAATCTTACTTATATTACTACTGAACAAGATCATATAGACTATTGAAGTTTAAAGAAATTTGTTCTTATTTTAGATATCAATTTCAAACTTTATACACATCCTCTCGTCCCATCTTTCCTAACTAACTTCCATCCTAAATTTTTCTCCCAACACACAAAGTGAACATGATCATTTAAGTGTCATACCCTGAGAACAAGAAATTTATCAAGCCTTGCTCAACATCATATTCAAAGGGCCTTAGGCTTGATGAAATTCCTTCATTTTTTTCTAAAGCTTATTGAAAACTATAAAAGACATATATTATCTCATATCTCTAGGTTTTCTTTCACTCGGGATATTTGTTGAAACAACTCAACCCAACAACTTTATTTCTCATTTCTAAAATTTTGGACCCTCACAAAATACAATGCTATAGACCAATCTTTTTATGTAATGTTAGTTATAAGATTATAGAAAATTCTAGCTAATAGGATATCTCCCTTACTAGACCATCTCTTATCTCCCAACCAGTCAACTTTTATCAAATCTAGGCATATCTAAAAAAATTAAATCATCACCCATGAACTCAAACAAGAAAAATTAGGATGATTTATGCTGAAGTATGATATGAGTCAAACGTTTGACCAAATTTAATGGTTCTTCTTCATAAAGGTCCTGAAATCTATGAGTTTTGTTTCTAAAATTTTACAACTATTATCTTGATGTTTCACTATAGTCGCCTACCAAATTGACGCTAATGGGATACCCGTCCAGGGCTAACCCATTAAAAAGGCCTTAGACAAGGTGTCTGAAATATCTTCGAATTTTCGTAACTTCTAACATTTTTTTTTAAAAAAAATAAAGGAAATGGCTTGCACTATGTTGGAATTAAAAAAAAAAGCAGAGGAAAAGAAAAAGGAAATGATGGGATGCTTACTTTTCTTGTTTGGACAAAAGAAAAAAAAAAAAAAAGTAAATAGTAAAGAAAACAAATATTACTACCTAATATATTTACTATTTGTTTTACCATTAATCATTTTATTTTATTTAAACTAAATAAGATATTACAATAGTAAGTTTTTTTCTAAATTTTTAATTATCCAAATATATTTATATATATATTTCGTTTTAAAACCATTTTCTTTTGTTTTGTTTTGTTTTTTTTTTCTTATCAATCTGCTAATGCTTACCCAAACCTAGTGTTAGAAATTTTGTTTCTGTTTTATTCCATTAGTATACATTTCTTCTTCTTCTTCTTCTTTTTTATATATTTTTTGGAATTTCTATTTTCTTCTCATTTTGTTTCCTCTCCATTTTTAGTAAATTTTACGCACAAAAAATGGTGTTATAAACTCTCCTCAATTATTTTATTCCAAAAAAAAAAGAAATAATCAATTAAAAATGGCATAAGTTATATTTATCAAATTTTTGGGGGGGCAATTTCGTAACTTAATATACCCATCTCGTAAATCGACTGTACTACACCCCTGGAAAATTGTACTCCATTACTCCTCCCACAATATCATTACATCACCCTTTTAACAAAAATAATTTTTTTATTTGAAAAAACCAAAAACCAAAAAAAAGAAAGAAAGAACATCAGGCTTATTAAAATCCCCACCCTCTCTGGGGATTCTTTCTTCTTCCTCACTTTCCTCTCAGCATCTCCTCTCCATTTCCCATTTTTTAAAATCTCAGATCTAAAAATTACAACTACAAGATGATGCACATGACCTTTTATTGGGGCCGGAGGGTGACCCTCTTCTTCAGCTCCTGGCAAACCGATTCATGGCTCGGCTACGCGCTCACCTTACTCGCCTGCCTACTCGCCGCCGCTTTCTACCAGTTCCTGGAAGATCGCCGGCTGAAATTGATTCGCTACGCGGTTGCCGCGAAGAAAGTATCTCCGGGAGCGCCGGTTGAAGCGCCTCTCCTGCATAAGACTGCCGTGGCCGGAGGAGATAAATGGTGGTCGCCGGTGAAGGTCTTCGGAGCCTTGCTTTTCGGGATCAACGCATCGCTGGGTTACATGTTGATGCTGGCTGTCATGTCGTTTAATGGAGGCGTGTTCTTGGCCATCGTTTTTGGGCTGACGATCGGATACTTGGCGTTCCGGAGCCCCGATGATCAGGAAACGGTGGTGATTGTTGATAATCCTTGCGCTTGTGCTTGAGGAAAAAGAAAATGGAAATTGAGACGGAGGCGAGGATTCATCTGTTTTGTTATATATATGTTATGGTATTTATGTTTGTATGTGCAAATTATCTATTATGTAGTTTTGTGTTTGGAAAGCTAAAGAAACAATGTTGAAATCTCAATTTGTGATGTAGTTGGGAACAGATATGTTTTGGGAATTCAGGAGATAATTCCTTTCAGAGAAGCAATTATTTTAGTTAATTTAATTAAATTTAAAATTAACAAACAAATTAGTATTGAGGTGTGGGCAAATCATAATCTGAAAACATTTAGAATTGGTAAATTTAATCGTCCCATCACAATCAATTTTCGGGAAGATAGATACTCATTCTCTGAAAACAAACAAGATACATACATATATATAAGATAGATACTCATTCTCAAGAGTTTTTTTGACTTCACAACTTGATCTCCTTTTAACTAACCAACCGTAAAGAGACTAGCATACTCTGGATCCTGAGTACTGCCTCTCTGTCATTTCTACTAAACTTAAAAAAGCCCCAATTAGCTTTCTTTTAAATTCAAAACAAAAATTTCTGTCTGTAATCTCCATTACTAATCCTCTGTGTATTTTGTTCGGTGTTCCTACTTTCGGAAGAACTAAGCAAAGTTCTCTCAAAATATCTTTAACTTTGCATTTACCGGGAGGGAAGTTTCTCAAGAGAATTTTTTTTTCACACAAAATCACTCTTCTTAAAACTCTCTATAAAAAGGTTGGTATTACTTTGATGTTTGTATCTTGATTCTGCTGTTAGATCGGTATGATCATCCTAGTAAAAAGATGTATTATGGATTTTAATGGCCCAATTTAAATTTAATGAAAAAGTAAAAAAAATTGACAATATTAAATATAATTTAGTTATCATAATCTTGATAACAATAACATTAAATAATATATAATAACATAACCAGAAATGTACCCTGATGATTTAGAAATTGAAAGAGAAAAAAAAAAAAAAAAAAAGAAATATAAAAGAAAATCTCGAAATGGTTGTCAAAATCATTTGACGTAAAATATATATTCATGTATCTGTTTGTTTACTCTTTTACCATGTCTTTCCAACATGAAGTGCTTCTTAAAGTTCAAATCGTTTTATAATAACAATAATAATTTCATAACATACTGATTAACAACAATAAATAATTAGATTAAAAAAAAAAAAGATCACATGAAAAAAAATTATATATATATATATATATATTTTTTATTATTATTTTATCATATTTTAATTTTATAAAATTGATATATTTCTATACATAAAAATTTAACTATAATCTAAATATATAAAAACAATTATAATTCAAAGCATTTAAAAATGTCACTAGTGTACAACAATAAGAGAAATGGGTACGAATTATTGTAACTAATGGTAGATGTTTACGATTAAATTAGGATACAATAAATTATTAAGAGAATACAAAATCTTACTTTAACATATTACTTAAAGGTTATGGAATTTGATATGAGAGAATCATTTTCAATAGCAACATGAAATCTTATGATGATATCTCCTCATCATAGCCTCCCTAACTATACATGAAACATTAAATAACAATTCATAACTATGTTATTTACGTGGGTTAGAGTAAGAAATATATAATCATATTTTCTTCAATGTATTTTGAATGGGCTTTAAACTTAAGTCAATTCCTATTAGCTTAATTGATATAAATTTAGATATAATACTCAGTCATAAGACTTATAAGATAAAATTCTATTATGCATATATTATGACTCATCTTTTATGATTTTAAAATAACAAGTTGAAAGTTAAAGGACTTAACCTATGAAGCTGATAAATGTCAAATTTTATCTATCATTTAAAAAGACATAAAGTATTGAACTTTATCTATAAAAATTTTACCTATTATTTAAGAAGACGATAAGAGTTGAACTTAATTTATATATAATTAATGAAAACTTTTTTTTAATTGTAATTTATTCTTAAAGGTTGGTTAGTTAACTGAAAAATTCATATCAATATATATACATATATTTTTCTTCTATTTTCCATTTAGTTTATTCTTATTTTTATTATTTTCTTAAGTTCTAACATCGTGCACCCGTAATTATTGAACCTATCAATTTCGAGCTATGCATTATGGGGAAGATCCCTTCATACCTTTATAGCAACTCCATCTTTATAGTTTTTTTTTCTAAAAAAAATTTCTCCTTTTTAACATCTTTTAAGGCTCATAAGAATTTATTGATTTTTTTTGTTTAAATTATTATTTATTGATTAGATCTGGAAAAAAAATTGATCGGTCTTGTGCGAGGAAGAGAAAGTATAAAGATTGACAAAGATAAGAGAATGAAAAAAAGACAAATGTATAAAGAGAGATGTCAAAGAAAAATAAGTTTTATTTATAAGAAAAATAAGGTGTAAGAATTTTTTAATTTTTTGCCCTCATTTTTCCTTTGGTTGCTTTATCACCATCAATTATTTTTATTTAGATACCTAGAAACAGTAGGAAAAGAAGATTGGATAAAGTTTCAAAATTAAATTTTTAGCTATAGTTGAGAAGTTTTTACACTTGGTAAGTGTACCTTGTTTCATTATTTTTGAAGTAAAAAATTTCTAAATTTTTCTCAAGTTTCTAAAGAAATAAATGATGGTCTAAAATGAGGAAATGGGATTTGCTCATGATGGGAATTTTGACATGTGGGTTGTAACGGCCCCAAAAATTCAAAAGGAAATACATATAATAATCTGAGTGCAGAAGCGAAATAAAAGATTAAGATTAACATCCCTTACACAATAACTTAAAAGTACTAAACAATATCACTGAATAAGTTCTCTAAAGGAAATACGAGAAATGAGAAAAATAAAGAAAACTATAAAGTATCTAGTATCTACTCGCCGTCTTTTTGTGGATTGGACTCGGGAACCTGGTCCTCCTGATCTGAAATGGTTAAATAAGGAATGAGCTACACTAGCCTAGTAAAGACATCACACTATATCACTGTCACAGAAGTAAAGGTTGGTAAAAAATCAAAAATAACTAATGGAGCACAAATTTTAAACAAATTCATTTATCAATAATCAAACCATTTACCGTCTACTTATCGCAGTAAGATTTATAAAAACAACCTATGGAAACAATAACATTATAAATATCATGAATTCATATATAATCTGTAACATAGCACATATTATACTTTTATATTCAAATCATCAAACAACAATTGCCATTTTTTATCAGCCTACTAGTATCCATGGGGATCCATAGGGGTCCCTGCTATACGTGAACCATTCCCCTTAACAAACTTAATTACAAGGCCGTCCCCGTACCCCGTCCGGTATGAGCGCCAAAACAATAAACCTCAATACCCCGTCCGGTATGAGGGTGAAGTGGGTCGTCCCTATACCCCGTCCGGTATGGGCGCCAAATGACCAAGTCTTCATACCTCATCTGGTATGAGACAACGTTCACGATAGGGTTCCCTATGAACCCGGTCCGTCCACCATCTCCCAGGATATCTAGTGAGGCTGTCATCTTATCTATTTATCAAATCTCATCCTATAACGGCCCCAGAAATTTAAATGAAGATGTATGCATTAAAATTTTTAAATGCGGAAGCGAAATAAAAATTCTGATTAACGTCCCTTACACAATAAACATAAACGTATTCAACGTATGAAAGAATAAGCTAATTAAAAGAAATATTCGAAATAAAAACTTAAATAGAACTATAAAATCTTTAGGCGTCTAACTCACTGTCTTCCTGTGGAACGGGCTCAGGAACCACATCTTATTGATATGAAATGGTTAAGTAAGGAATGAGCTACACTAGCCCAGTAAAGACATCACACTATCTCACTGCCATAGAAGTAAAGGTTAGTAGAAAATAAAAACGACCAATTGAGCATAATTTATAACAAACTCATTTATTAATGATAAAAACCTTTACTGTCCACTTACCTCGGTGAGATTCATGAAAATAACATATGAAAACAATAACATTATAACCATCATAAAATCATATACACTTTGTAACATAACACCTGTTATACTTTTCCACTTCAATAATCAGACAATAATTCTCCTCTTTTACCAGTCTACTAGTATCCATGGGGATCCATAGGGGGTCCCTACTACACGTGAACCATTAATATTAATAACCTGATTCCAGGGCCGTCCCCATACCTCGTCCGGTATGGGCGCCAAAACTATAAACCTCAATACCCCGTCCGGTATGAGGGTGAAATGGGCCGTCCCCATACCCCGTCTGGTATGGGTGCCAAAATACATAAGGTCTCCATACCCCGTATATATGAGAGACCACATTCCCGGTAGGGTTCCCTACGGATCCGGTCCGTCCACCATCTCTCAGGATATCTAGTCAGGCTGTCCACGTTATCTATTTATCAATTTACGTACATTTTTTATTTTTTTCTTAGTTTTCTGTTTCTCACATAATCATGAATATTTAAACCAGTAACGAGCATCCAACAAGGCAGGCATATCATCGTATTCACAAAATCAAGCCATAATGAAGTAAATAGTGATTCATGCATTCAAAACCATAAAATAAATAGATCAGATACTATAATGCATTTAAAACTGTAAAATAACTAAAACAGCAACTGACCGAAAATATATCAGACTCGAGCTCCATTAACAACCTTAATTAACTATACATATCTATTAATTCACAAAATACCGTTTTATTATTTATTGAGCTTTAATACTGTGATAGGAGATAGGGTGAGAAATCCTTATTTGTTTCGGGATTTGAAATCGGCTCTATAATGTGCCTACGAGCTGTCCCTAAATTTTCTGAAATTTTTTCGAAAAACTGAAACGCACTACCGGTACCTACACGTATCCCAAAAAACTCCAAATCAGACCCAGGGCCCTTTTTCGGCCAATATCAGAATTTCGGCACGGCAGCTCCGCCGTGCTCTGGCGACGGCACCGCCATCCGCGGCGGCGATCGGCCTTGGGTTGGCCGTTTTCTGCCAAATTCGGCCAAACTTGCATTAGTTCCTGTAATAAAACAACCCTAGAGCCCTCGGTGGGCAAAAAAATCACGAAAAATTGAAACTTACCGGCGGCAGAGCTCTCGGGTGCGGCGGCTTCTCCGACGCGAGTCACGATTTAATGTTTTGCTCCGATCAACCTGTAGAGAAAAGGATGATGATCATAGTGGTGTAAAAATTGCATCGAACGGGAACCGAA